GCCAAAATCCATCTTATACATTTATAAATCTACCATTCTTCTGTGCACTGAATATTTTTGCCATATCTGGTTTGGTGCTCTTGCTATATATCTTGAAATTTTTGACAAACTCAAAAGAAGTGTTCTGACCTGGAATCTTGACTTCAGTCATTTTAAAACCATAATATGATTTCCCTGTCTTTTCTGTAAATATTTTCATGGTAACTGTGTTGCCGATTTGAATCAACCCACAACAAAGAAAAAGGTGAGAAAGGTGTTTAAATATAAAAATATAAAATAGTTTTATTTTCATGGTTTTACAACTAAATTTTTCTTAGCACATATGAGTTCTTACAGTCTTTGTTTGCAGCTGTTTTGTTGAGATGAAAAGAAATGCCATTTCTTTATGTGTATATGTAAGAAAAAAATGCAAGAGAGAAAGGGAGGAGGAAAGTGCAAATGTCACGTCGCTTGGCAAGGAAGTGTGTACATGTCACGTGTCTTAGCAAGGAAGTATTATATAGGAATAAAGTGTTACTACCGACACTTGAGTTTGAACATAGATCGCCAGTGAGCAAACACAGGCGATCATATTTGTAGAAGACTGGCCAACTTGCAAGTGATCTGACACACAGGTAGACTGGTGTCCTGGTGGAGTCAGCTGGAATGCCAATTTTGATAAGGAGTTCTTGCCAATCATCAGATCCTGTTTGCAGCACTATGTAGAATATTGGTTAACTTGCAAGTGGTCTGACACAGGTAGACTGGTGTCGTCACTTCAAGTTGGAAAACAGCACTGAGTGATTTAATGGAGAAATATATGGGTGAATAGAGTCCACTCATACAAATGTGTTGGGCAGGTCCATTCTAGCAAAGTGGACTAACCCACCTGATGTATTAGGTACTCTCCTATAAATGAGGTAGACTAGCTGGCTTGCCTTTATGAGGAGACACAAGAAGGCAACCATGTTAGAAGGTAAATCATTTAACTTCTACACTATTATTGAATTAAGTAGACCATGTGACCATAGAGGAAATGCATATATGGGAAGTAGCGTGTGTCTAATTGATTGTTATTTCTAGTCTATCCTCTATACTATAGGAATCACCATTTCTATTCTATCCTCTATTACTATACAGACTGCTATTCTCAACTTTATTCACTATACTATTTCTCTATTCAGATCACTATATGGGTTACTTTTGAGCAAGTATTATCAGGCAAATATTATTAGTGCAAGTGATATTCAAAGGCACCTGACACCAGTATTGTTCAACGGTGTACTATAGTTGTATCTGCAATTACAAACTCTACTACAATGAGCATTATGAAAGTGACAACGAGTATTTGTTGACATCACAAAAGTGGCAACGAGTGTTCATTGAAATCACAAAAGGAAGACAGGTGAATGAGTAAGGGAATCTTTTTGAAGCTCTGCATCATGAACTGATGTCGCATGTATCCATCTCTATCTCCTTACTGGTTTTGTCCATCTAAAGACTTTACTTAAATACTCTTCAAAGGGATCACAAAGCATGTTTTTTTTTTATTGTCAGCAGGAACACAACCCATTGGTTGAAAATGTTAAATATTTATTCTCCAATAATTAATTTTATTAGCCAGAAGGATGTGTGGATCTTCTGACTCAGAAACCATTTTTTTGTCATTTGTTATTTCTGTCTTTGATTCACAATCGTTCTAATAAGGTTTTCTTCCAGATTCTTGCATATTAATCTGAGATAATCAAAGAGCATAATGCAAATGCTGACTAAACAATGAAGGGACAAGCAGAAATATAATATGATCATTATACCGAATAAATAAAATAAGTAAGACTGTAGTAAGAACAAAGTTATAGAAGATAAAATCTAACTCTGTTTAATATTATAGCATGGCTGATGCTGTTATAGACAAGCGTATGGTTGCAAGAAGGAAATATGACAACAATGATAATGGTCATTTTGTGACAGGGCCTTGTCCCGTTCACATCCGGCTCTCGCTCTTGAATATGTTAGTTTATTTGCCTGCAAATCAGCCGAGATATGTCTTATTTTATTTTATAGCAATGCTAACCTTCAGAAGAGCAACTCATTGTGCCTTCTTGAGCTCACAGTTTCTACTGACATGAAGTGGAGCAATTATATTGAGTCAATTGCTAGATCTGCTGCTAAGAAGGTTACTTTGGAAAACATGGATCTTCATGCCTGCAAAGAAATGAGTGTCAAATGGATGGGTTTTTTTTTCCCATAATACCACTTTTAATTTAATTGCCTTCACTCTTCGGTAATGTTTATTGTTTAAAAAATGATGATTAGAATTAGAATAAACATATCATCATCTTACAGTTAAAATGACTAGATCTAACTGTAAGTTCTATGATAACAGTTTCTCCTCTCACACTTCTCGCTTGTGGAACTCTCTCCTGTCTTCTTGCTTCCCAGTCAACTTTGCTCTTCAAAAATTTAAATACAATGTCAATCGTTATCTTCTGTCTTCTTAATACCTGTTCAGTTATTTTTCTCTCTCCTCTTAATAATGTTTTCTTTTTCTCATATTCTCTCACACTAAGTAACCCCTTGCATCTTAGTGGCTTTATTGCCTTGGAGTGAAATGATTTAAAAACAAAAGACCAAAATGTTAGCACCAAAATAGTTTTCACAAATTTACAAATAAACTCTATTTTAATTTAAAAAAAAAATTTTGCACATCATCAGTATATCATCATGTCAACCTTGGTAATGAGGGTGACAGCTTTACCCATTCTTTGGGATAGGTAAGGTAATTATAGCTAAGTCGTTTACTCAAGAGTTATCTAACCTACTTCATCAACTGTTGTGGCAAGCAAGTAATGAGATATGTGTTTATGATATCACATGGAGAAGAAGTTTCATGCCTTCTTTAAGAGTATTAATGTAATTTGAAGTTGAGGGAGGTATAAAAATTACTGGCATTGAAGATGGAATTGGCAATCCAAGTTTAAATTCCAGTTTAATCAATCACCATAATCAGAGTATGAACTCTGCTCCCTAATTACTTTCTGGAAAAGCACAACCAGCTGTACCGAATCCCTCTCATAATAAAAAATTTCAGCACCCTTCCTTTGCCCATGTACAATATTAAAATCCTTTATAAACTACAGACATTTATCAAAAAAAATATTATTAAAATATATAAAACCTATTTCAATTTACACATGAATTATGAAAATATTATTAAAATCCTTGATAAAATTCAAAGAGGAATCAGAAATATTATTGGTCCTGACCTGGCATCTCAGCTTCAGTCCCTTTCCCACAGTCAACAAGGTATTTCTCTCTGCATTTTCTATAAATACTTTCATGGTAATTGTTCAGATGAGCTCCTCACCATGGTAGAGGTATTATGGTGGTTGTAGTAAAAAAGGTACGTATGAATGTGTTGTTTTGGCGTAAGGAATATTGTTTCATACGATTGGGTCAGTGCTTGCAGATAGCTAATTTATACTTAAGACAGAAGAAGACCGTCCTTTCCTCAATCCCCTTTTTGGCCTTGTGCCACATTTCTGTATTAAACAGAATAAATATTGCTCCTCACTATGGTACCTAGACTTCATGTATTTAAGTGCAGTACTAGATTAGCAACAAGGTCTCCTCAATTTAGAGTTGAATTGACTAGATGTAACCATAAGTTCTATGCTAACAGTTTCTTTTCTCACACTTCTTGCTTGAGGAAATCTCTTTCGGCTCCATGCTTTCCAGTCAACTGTAACCTTCAAAAATTTAAATGCAATGTCAATCATTATCTACTGTCTTCCTGATTACTCTTCTACTAGTCTTGCTTCTTAATAATGTTTCTGTTTTCTAATTCTTTCACACCCAGTAACCCCCTTGTGTCTTAGTGGCTTTACTGCCTTGCTTGGAGTGAATTCAATGAAAAAAAATCCTTTTTCAGCTGCAGAATTATATTAAAAATATACAAGTATGATATTTATCAACCACATATTATTATTATTATTTTGTTACAGATGAATTTATCTATGTTAATGTTATTGCTAATATTAGCCATTTCCCCATAAGGAAACATTTGACCAAGCCAGTACAGCTTTTGGTGTAAATATGTTTCTCAAGTCCAATTGCTGTTATTGCTCTTTCCAATAATGAATGTGGTTTCCTTCCAAACAGTAATGTGGTAATGGTAATCTTGAAGCAACAGATATTTGGTTCTGTAGAATGATACTAAGAATACCATGGCCAGAGCATAGGAGTAAGAAGGAAGTCTTTAAAAAAAATCGAAACTAAAAGGACTCTTGTACTCATAATCTGAAAGAGACACCTGAAATTTCTTTGTCACATAATGAGGAAAGAAAGCTTGGAGAATTTAATACTTACACAACATATTGAACACAAATGGGGATGGCACATACCTGACCAGCTTGGATTGGTAAAAAAAGACAAATATTACTAAGAGCTACAAAGGATAGAAAGTTGTGGAGAGTCATGATTGCCCACTTTCTGAAGAAGAATTACTCCAAAAATGATTTTCTTCTAAACTTGTTGCAGTCAAGTATGTCACAATGATTGAACATTGTGACTAATAAAAATAAAAAATGTCTGAAAAAAGAGTGAAACCAGTTTTTGAAGAAATTTGTCAAGACCTTGACTTCCACACCCAATGCTTTTATTTATTTATTTTTTTTCAGTTTATGTGAGTTTGACTGTCTTTTGTATTTACCTTGTGCTTTAGATGTTTTAGTGATAAAATGACAAAGTATAGGAACCAGAAGAAAATTGTTTTTAATCTTGGTTCTCAAAGACTTGAATACTTTCTCAATATACAGGTTCTGTGTTCAGCACCCTGTGAATATTGTTTTTAATTAAGGTACAGTCAATCTGTTTCGAATCAACAAGATTTTATGTGGGAAAAAGGATGGCTTTTATTTTAAGACATATGAGAAAGCAGCAAAACTCTTTACAGATGTTCAAATAAAGAAAAACTTATAAAGAAAATGTGTTCATGGATGTTATGAGGAAATAAAACTTGGTTATAACAAGAAATAGAAGCACTTTAATGAATAGATAGATATGTACAGACTGAGATAGATAGATAGATAGATAGATAGATATGTACAGACTGAGATAGATAGATAGATAGATAGATATGTACAGATTGAGATAGATAGATAGATATGTACAGACCTAGATAGATAGATAGATAGATAGATAGATAGATAGATATGTACAGACCTAGATAGATAGATAGATAGATAGACCAATATGTACAGACCTAGATAGATAGATATAGATAGATAGATAGATAGATAGATAGATAGATGATATGTACAGACCTAGATAGATAGATAGATATGTACAGACCTAGATAGATAGATAGATATGTACAGACCTAGATAGATAGATAGATATGTACAGACCTAGATAGATAGATAGATAGATAGATATGTACAGACCTAGATAGATAGATAGATAGATATGTACAGACCTAGATAGATAGATAGATAGATAGATATGTACAGACCTAGATAGATAGATAGATAGATATGTACAGACCTAGATAGATAGATAGATATGTACAGACCTAGATAGATATCTGAACTGAAAAAATATACTTGGTTGATGAATACTGAATGTCTCCTTATAAGGAAATAGCTAATATTACCATTAAAGATGAGAACAGATACTATATTTTGATTCCAGCCTGATGACCAGGAAGTGAAGAAAACATAAACCAAGTAGAATTGGCTGCTCAATGTATGCCTAATATTTCCTTATGGGGAAATAGCTAATATTATCATTACCATTAGAGGAGAACAGACACTACACTTTGATCCCAGCCCAATAGCCAGGGAATGAAGAAAACTGTAACTCTAGTAGAATTGACTGCTTGGTCAATGAATGCCAAATATTTCCTTATAAGTAATTATAACAGCTAATATTACCATTAACATTAGTGAACTCGAAATTGATTCTTAATTGATATGTATGATTAGTATTTAGGATGAAGTCATTTGTCATTACAACTGGTTCTCAAAAATGGAAATCGTTTATGATTAAATGTAATATTTCTCTCACTCAATAACGTTACTTGTTTCTTATTTCACTTTTAAAATTCTCTTTCGTATGGTCCATGAAAATCTTTATAGATCTGAAATTAGGAAATAAATATCAATAACTATATTATGATATGAAAATATTTATTTACAATATCATGAACAACACTCAAGCTGCATAATAAATTCTGACACCAGTAAATAAATTACTGTAAATATCACTAATAAAGAAGTACCAGGGTTTGGTTTGTTTTGTTTTACAGCATATCAATGGGTTATTTAATACCAACAAAATTTTTATTGTTGTCAATATTTTTTTTTCAAAAATCTATTTCTGATAATATTTTTTTCTTCAAAAAATCCATCCAATAAACTACATCCGTGTCCTGGGTAAGACGATAAACTACATCCAGCAGCAAGGCCTCTGATCAGGAGGTTTTAAGGAGTGTGTAACCACCTCTTAATTGTTGGTGTTTTCAGGTCTGCTCTGACCCAGGATGGTAGCACTTGTTTTTTTTTTTAAGGATTGGTTTAGTTTGGTTTGTTTTGTTTTACGGCATATCAACCTCAATGGGTTATTTAATGTTGACAAGATTTTTATTGCTGGTAATAGTTTTTTTTTTCAAATGTATTATTGGGAAATTTTTTTCCTTCAAAAATCTATTTCTGGTAATATTTTTCCTTCAAAAATGTATCGCTTGTAATTTTTTTCAAAAAAGTATAGCTGGTAATATCTTTTTACAAAAAGGTATTGCTGGTAACAATTTTTCTTCAAAAACTTATTGCTGGTAGTAACTTTTTTTTACAAAGTATTTCTGATATTAAAACCTATTTTTACACTTTCATAGTGTTTTGACCCCAGTTTGGGTGCTAACTATTTGCCCATAGCTGGGATCCTAACAAGTGTTACCACCCCGGGTCAGGGTGGACCTGGGAACACCAGCAATTAAGAGGTGGTTCTGCACTCCTCAAAACCTCCTCATCAGAGTCTTTGCTGTTGGACATAGTTTACCCAGGATGCAGATGTAGTTTATCATCATACCCAGGACAAAATGACAGGGATGAAAGCTCATAAGAACAGACTCAGATAAAGGGCCTTGTCACTTCTTGAAGGAAACCCCTCCCTGATTGATTGTGTCTTCAGGGATGTTATCATGCTCACCACACATGGCTAATTGTGGGTTGATGGAGCTATTTAACTTATAGCTGATAGTTCTGAATTCAAAATTGCCCTTCTTCTAGATTGGTTGCTAGACTATAGGGTTCAGTCTGACCTGCTATTCAACCCATAGCTGGGGGAAAAAAGATATGGATTCATAACTTTCCCAAGGTTATTTGCATGTAAGTGAATATAACAAACTCAGCTCGAATTTGAATTACCACACTGTATCTCTAATAAAAAAAAAGATATTATAAAGAAGAATTATGGTTGTATATTTACCGTATAAATATATCATGAAAGAAAGAATGTTCATATTTCAAACTGATGGTAATGTTTGGGTGTGGTGCAATTAATGAAACACCATGCAAGTTGGTGGTGGTTCCATAATGGTGGTTCTTATGGCGGAGGTTGGAAATGATTATGCTACACTGTCTCTTCACTATTGGCATCCATTCATGGACTCTATGTATCCCAACAATGGCAAATTATTCCAGCAGGATAATTCTTCATAATACTGAGCCCAAGTTGCCCAGAATTGGTTTGAGAATCGTTCTGAAGATTTCTGATGAAAGGCACATGCCATTACAGCTTGCCTAGAATGAGCCCAATTATATAGTGTGGTGCATTTCAAATGCAAAATCCTGCACCTAGCAATACCAAGGAACTGTAGAAAAATTTTCAAGATGGCATGGTTCCACTTCTTCAGTAGTTTACAGGTAGTCTTATATGCAAGGCTAGTGTAAGAGTCTTGTGCTCCCTCTCCAAACTATCCACTCAATTTTCATAAGATAGTATTCATATAAAATACAAATTAGAAAGCAGAAAAATTACTAAGGAGCAAGAACAATAGCAGAATAATCAGGAAGACAGTAGATAATGATTGACATTGCATTTGGTTGGAAAGCCTGGGCCAGAAAAGAGTTCCACAAGCGAGAAGTGCAAGAAAAGAAACTGTTAGCATAGAACTTACGGTTACATCTATTAGATAATTTTTACATTATAAAAAGGAATTTGTATTTAAAAAAAATAAGTATATCATTCTATTTACCTTATTTACACTGTTCAGACTGTTGTCCTCATCTTTACAGCCATATTCACAATGTTTTGGCCATTGTATGCTTTGGCCTTCTTTAGGTGATTGGAATTTCAAACTGAACCCTTTATTTCATCCACCAGGGTAGATTGTTCTAGTTCCAAATGCCATGCCTCTTCCGGATGTCTCAGTTTAAATCAACTCTTCAAGTTTTTGTTCACTACTGCAGTAGCCAGGTATTGAACTCATAACTCTTTGGGTCAAGTCACTAGATCCAACCAATGCTTTTATTCACTGGGCCAATGGTTCTATTTATAGCTTATTAAATCTTAGTTGTTTTTCTCCTAGACTGGCTACCAACCATGGCTAGAGAGCCCAGTATGTGCTGCTATTTGTATTTACAGTTGGGTGGAGTGAAGCGATACCCGTTCCCATGGGTATTCGCACAAAAGTGAACATAACAGAATTCAGCTGGGATTTGAACTCGAGTTGATTTCTCCTTCCAAGCTGCTAACAATTATACCACCTGTACACTGAATTACTGAAGAACAAGAAACAATGCATTTGAGAAAGAAAAAATTAAGCCCACCATAGGTAGGTAGGTAATTAAGGCAGCGCAATGTCCAGATGTTTTGATGATTGCATGAGTCCACTAAGTTAATCAAGTTTAAGTCATCCAAGTCAATACATAGACATAATGTCTTGATTTGTATACAAAGGAACACATCCAATTGATTGATTTAGTGGCTATCAATAAAAAGCAGTTAATGTGGAACAGACAACTTCGTTTATTGCAAACTATTCATTTCTCAAAGAATAAAATGTATAGGATTCCTTTGAATGCTTATCTCGATATACACAGCCTTCTGGTCGCACAATATCATTTAAGCAGACTGAAATAAGCTACGGCATAACTGTTTTGCCAATAAATAGTTTCCAGTAAAGTATATTCTACCATTTTGTATCTGTAAGTATTTTTGTATTGAATTTGGTTTAACAAACATCTTTGGAGTTAAGTACACACTTAAGACAAGTCATTTGACAAAGTGCCAGACACACAAGTGCAAAACGAAAATGAAAAATTTGAAAAATTGAAAATTTATCATGTCCTTTGCCATTTGAATTTAAAAATTGAATCAATGTAAATCTTTGGCTGATGGAGGGAATAGAAGTCCCAAAACATGTATCAACAATTAAAAATCTGTTGTATCCTTAAAGACGTTTACAGACAAAGGTGGTATTCAAGTGAAAGGAATAGCAACACAGGCGTAGATGAAAGAGAGGTTTATTGTAAAAGAGAATACACTACTGAAAGATAAGGAATTCGTTAGCAAGCTAGTAATTCCCGAAGCAAGTGCCAGGTATATCCTGTGCATACTATATATATCTACTGATATAGTCAGTCCACAATAGGCAATAGGGAGAGTGGGACATTCCGTTACAACAAAATCAAATTAATGTAAATATTTGGCTGATGAAGAGAACAGAAGTCTCGAAACATATACCAACAATTAAAAATCAAATCAATGTAAATGTTTGGCTGATGAAGAGAATAGGACTCCTGAAACACATACTAACAATTAAAAATTGAATCAATGTAAATGCTCGGCAGCTGAAGGGAATGGGACTCCCAAAACATGTACACTCAACAAAAATATAATACACAGTTTTTGCCTACAATTTTATCATGCCAATCAGTCCTGAGTATGATGATAAACTACATCAGGCAGCAAAGCCTCTAATTGGGAGATTGGAGCTTTTGAGGAGTGTGAAACTACCTTTTAATTGCTGTTGTTCCTAGAGCCACCTTGACCCAGTGTGGTAGCACCTGTTAGGGTCCCAGCTATGGGTAAATAGTGAACTCCAAAACAAAAACAAAACACTATGAAAGTATAAAAATACATTTTTAAAGTAAAAATACCAGCAATACATTTTTATGTGTCTTTATTTCTGAGATGAGGTATTGTAACTATTTACACTATTTACATTGTTCAGACTGTTGACTTTATTGCCATATTCACAAGGTTTTCACTATTGTACACTCCTGCCTTCATCAGGCGATATTGAACTTTCAAACTGAATCCCTTATTTTGTCCACTGAAGTGGATTGTTCTCATGTCACATGTCATGCTTTTTTTGGATAACTCAGTTTCAGTTATTTCTCTTTTAGTCATACTTTTATCCACTGGAATAAAAGCATTGGCTGAAGTAATCAAGTGACTTGACCCAGAGAGTTGTGAGTTCAATACTTGGCCACAGCAGAGGTGGACAAAACTTGTCAAGTTACTAAAGGGAGATAACTGAAACTAAGATATCCAGAAAAGACATGGCATGTGAAACTAAAACAATCTATACCCACCCCTGTACTAAATAAAGGGTTTGGTTTAAAATTCAAATCACCTGAAGAAGACCAGAGCATACAACAGCTGAAACGTCATGAATAAAGATGAGGACAATAGTTTGAACATTATAAATAGATACATTTTATATATAAAAATTCCAAAAATATCTATTTAATCAACATGAAAGAAGTTTCATGTAATTAATCCATATAATATCCTCCAATTTCATAAAATCAAATGATATTTCAAAATATAACTTCAACAAAATAACATAAAACACACATATCACCACCCCTAATAATCATGTCCCCACAAACATGTTCATCCTCAAAAGCTGAGTATTATCTACCATGTACTGTATATATTTGTGTGTCATGTGACTTTTGAAGACCTATTTTTGAAGCTAATTTTAAGAGGATTGCATCATACATGAGATATAAAATTAGCATATGGACTGCTGGCCCTGACTACACTGTTGACCAAACTATATATCCATTTACTTTAGTCAAATTAGCTTCAAATTTAGGTTGCATGATATGCAGGTATATACAGTATTTAATTGGGAAATTAAAACATGTATCAGGTTTTTATTATTTCAAAGCTCCTAAGAAAATTAAATTCTTGCATTAAATGACCCATAAGGAGTTGATATGCCATCAAACAAAAAAAATCGAATCATGCCAATCGTATGGTTCAGTAATTCATATATAAATAAAGACATTGATATTTCCACCCTTCAAAAATTTGAAATTTTATGGAAATCCAGGAAAACAGTCTTAAATATTGAATTTAAAAAAAAAATTGGCAAGAATTTTGAGTTGTACTAAAATTCCTAATGTTTTATATTCCTTATGGAAATACTTATCAAAAGATATTACCATGAAATGTTATTAAAGAAAAACTAAAGATACATAAAAAAAAGAAATACAGGTACTCAAAAGGAACATGAGGATAAATTTTCTGAATTTGATTGGTTTCTTTTTAAACAATGTCTTTAACCCGGCTTTATTGAAACCACTACACAGTCTTCTGAGCCTCTGCTGGAGAGAAGGCAGGATTCCTCAGGATATGAACAATGCCAAGATAATTACCCTGTATAAAAACAAGGGTGTATGCAATGACTATAACTACTGGGGTGTGGCTGGTGGTATATTGGCCTGAAAACTACTGGGGTGTTGCTGGTGGTATATTGGCCTGAAAACAGATATTGAATGACAGAAGACAACAACAAACAAAACAAAGACTTGAGTAAAAAAATATATTTCCACATTTATTTTTGTTACAGAAAATACATCAACAAAAATAAGGTTATAGTGCACTAAGCTAAAAATATCTCTGCATGTTCATGTAGAAGGTGAGAAGAGTGTTGTCCTGAAAAGGATGGTTTTGTAGTCACTGAAGAGCATTGACCTGAAAAGGACAGTTTTCTAGTCACTGAAGATCATTGTGGCGACTGATGGCAAACTGGAGATGATTATGTCTAGCTGGAGCTGCGACTGATGGTTGGAGGCATGGAACAATTGACAGCTGCTGGAACAGATACTACACTTTGATCACTTAGTTATCAGGGCCTCAGATGTGACATACGGTTGGATTTAATATAGGAACCCAAACGTATACACTCGGGCCAAGGACAAAAAATATCCAGCCCCTGCAACCATCAGGTGCGGGCAGCTGTTCTTTGGGACAAGGCACCTCACAGTATTTTATTTTTCCCATCTGCATCTCTGTCAACAGACAGAACCACAACTGAGAGATGATTACCCTACCAGTCATGGGCCACACAGTCATGAAGCTTTGAGGCCTTTTTATATTCTGGATCAGTTTTACTACGATCGCTGATCAAGTTTTTTCTTCTGGTTATTTTTGAAAATTGGGATCGCTGACAGAATATGAATGGCATATCTCCCTGTCAAGCTTTGTTGGAAAACTCTTTGT